GAGTGCCTTAGTGTCTCCCTCCCCTTGCACTTGCAGCTAAACAGGGAGCCCCCTTCCCCCCATTTCCTAGGCCTAGTCAATTTCATGTAAGTTTTCTAGGCCTGGCCAATTCATGAATGGACTGTATCCATTCATTAATGCATTCATTCACCTTGCCCTAGCAAGGTACTGTTTCCATTCATTAATGCACTTATTCATCTTACCCTAGCAAAAGGGATTGTATCCATTCATTTGTTAGCATGTCCTGGCCAAATGTAACTACAAAGGACCCATGTGACTTATATATACCCCTAGAGAAACCTAGAGAAAGACACAGAGCTTTTTTCCCCCAACTTGGGTTGTTTCTCTCTGCCAGAAGCTTTGGTGTTTCTGAATTCTTTTCTGTAAGATCAATCTTGTCTTACCGCTGATCTGTGGTCCATGGATTCATTCTTCGAATCATCAAGACCAATAATCTACTGAAGAAAAAATTCCGAAATCATAACTATCAACACTAATAAGAGTTTAGAAAAAGTTGATTCTAGCCCTCAAGGATAACTTTGAGGGGGTACAAGACTTCGCTGGAGGAAGAAACTGCAAATGTGGTAGAAATTGCAAGATAACTTGAATTAGAAGTGGAGCCTGAAGATAAGACTGAATTGCTGTAATTTCATAATAAAACTGAGCAGATAAGGAATTGCTTCTTATGGATAAACAAAAACAGTGGTTTCTGGAGGGGCGACCTACTCCTGTTTAGGATGCTGCGGACACTGTGGACAGTGCTGAAATAACAAAGGATTTAGAGTATAGTACAAGCTTAGCTGATAAAGCAGCCATAGAGTTTGAGAGGGCTGACTCCAATTTTGAAAGAAATTCTATTGTGGGGAAAATATTACTATCAAAATAATACTATCAAACAGCACCACACGTTCCAGAGAAATCTTTTGTGAAAGGAAGAATCAATGGATGTGGCAAACTTCAATGCAGTCTTATTTTAAGCAATCACCATAGCCATCCACTACCTTTAGCTGCCAGGACTCAAATCAGTCAACAGTCGTCCACATGGAGGCAAAACCCTCCACTAGCAAAAAGATAACAACTTAGTCTACACACACTTAATAAACTACAATGTAAACACTTTCATATGCACTGGGAAAACAAATCAGGCGACTAGCTTTACTGTGGTGGTCTGGAAGTAAAGCCACAGTATCTCTGAGGACAGCCAGTATTATCCTTTGAATTCTTCTCTTTATAACATCTCTTGTTTCATAGATAAAATACTTCCCTCTCAGGCAGCGCCTGTAGCTCAAAGGAGTAGGACACCGGCCCCATATACCGGAGGTGGTGGGCTCAAACTTGGCCCCAGCCAAAAAAAAAATACTTCCCTCTCATCTGAAGATAAAAATTACAGCTTGGTGTTATTTATTTATGTTTCCTTCTTGCGTTGTCTCCTTCCTTCCAGGGCTTTTTTGTTTGGTTTGGGTTAGCAATATTTTTCTGTGTGAATCACTAAAATTAGGAATCTTGGTGTGCAATATAATATAAATTGCAGTTACAGGACTGTCAATTATATGATACATTATAAGATGATGAGCCAACTTCCTCAGCGTGTTATTAAAGGGCCCATGAATGTCAGTGTCTGTTTTTTTCCCCTTTTTCTCCCGATGTATTGCTGGGGACTGGGGTAGTATACAACAGTTCTGAAAGCCAAATAGGGAACGGGGCAAGAGGTCTTCCCATTTAAAGTGTTTCCCCTCTTTTCAGTACAGTACCTCAGCCATTCCTGACCTCAACTAGACCTGTTTCCTGTTTGATCGGCCAGATTATGAGAGGACAGCTGCTTGTGACTGTACCGAGAATAACTTTTAGAGGTCTAATTGCTGCTTATAAAACTACAAGAAATCTCTTTTCTACCCTATTCCCCACCCCAGTCTTCCAAGGGGCCTGGTGCCTTTAGACAAGTCTACAGCAAGAATCGCAGGCTTACTGGCTTCTCCCACTGAAAGATGAGATTTTAGCACTCTTAGGTCTAAGTTAGTTGCCCTCCCCCTTCTCATTTCAAGTTTCCAAAATATGGACATCTCATTTCTACCATCATCTCCTGTTCTATTTGCCATTGTGGATTTATGCCTTTTTCATTCCTTACATACAATGTCAGTGCAGTTTTAGAAGGGAGCATATATTTAATCATATTGAACTAGAAGTCATACAGTGTTTTTTAAAGAATCTTGGCTCTTACAGGAAAACCTAAGTCAGACAACATAAAGAATTATAAGTAAATGCTACATAAAGAATTAAAAGTATATATCAGAGTTTCATTTTAGCAACTTCACAAAGTGTCAACATTGAACATCCATTACAGACATGTAATACTGTGTTGTAAAAAATGCTTGCAAGGGTGGTATAAGTATACCAAGGAATACTATTCAGCCATAAAAAAGATGGAGACTTTACATCTTCTGTATTACCTAGATGGAGTTGAAGCACATTCTTCCTAGTAAATATCATAAGAATGGAAAAACAAGTATCCAATGTGCTCCATACTAATATGAAACCAATATATAAACAATTATAAGCCTACACAAAAGAAAAACACAAGTATATTCTAGTGAGGGGAAGGGGAGGGAAAGGGGGAAAAGGGGGTATTGGCAGATTCTCCCCTAACCTGCACAGTGTAGGGTGTGCAGCACACCCCCTGGGTAAAGGACTCAACTACAACTTGAACTTTATCTGAGAAACGAAAACAATGTAACCTAAACATTTGTACCCTCATATTAACCTGCAAAAACAAACAAACTTGCAAGGGCTGACCATAAGGCCCCGTGCTGAAGTTCACTGAAATGGGAAGACAAGTTGTACAGCTGTACCGTAAAGGAGTCATATTACTGGGTGGCCTTCCTAAACAATTGTGAAGCACTGATCCTCCTACCAAGCTTTAAAGTAAATAAATCCCCCAATACATTTATTTATGTCCACAAACTATAAGTCATCAACTGCCAATTTTTTAATCACTTTCCTTTCCCCATGAACTAAAACCTGAGGTTAGGATATTAACATGATTACCTCTGTATGATACTTTTCTAAGACAGCTTCAATATTTGCTGTTGAAGGAGACTTCAAGGCTAACAAATCTTCCTCTAACATACCCAACTAAAGGGGAAAAAAGGAAAATAGATTAGAAACCCTGTAGAAACACAAAAAGCTTTTAAAAATCTCATACTCTATTTTAGAGAATTTGTCCTAAAATCATGATGTTCTCTCTTCAGCTAAGTCACTGAAAGAAATTTTGACTGAAGTAGATAAATTTTTATTCATTAAAAAATATTCACGGAAGGTACACAGGCATTTCCCACACAACAAATGTTGCCTTCCAAGGAATGGTTAAATGGTTCTTTATCTTTTGGAACTCTACCTCTAACCCCATCCCCAAAGTGCACTACTCATTTTCATATCCTCTACAGGTCCTGAGTGTGGCAGTCTGCCACCAGTAGAAACAGTCAACCCAACCACATGGTTCATCGGTGAGTAAGCCAGTTCTGTTAGAGTGAGCTAAATCAGCTAAAGCAGAATAAATCTCTTGCTGGGAATTCTGGGGCAAAACCACCTAGAACTGAGTTTTCTGTTAAATGTTACACAAGGGGTTTCAACTACTTTGGTAATGCTGTTGTCCACATTTTACAGATGGAGAACCTAGAGGCCAGGGAGACTAAATTTAAGCTAGGATTTAAACTCAGGCCGTCCGTTTGCATATTCCTTGTCACTATATTGACAAGTCACTAAAAACACTGGTTACAGTGTTAAATTAAAAAAGAGATAGAAAACATGTGTTTCATAGTAAATAGGCTTTAGAAAAATCCTAAGAGTGTATTTTATAAAAGCAATTATTTTAAATGCACCAAGGAAACTCACAACCAAGAAAACTCTTCTTCAAAATGTCTTTATAAAAGCCTTTTATATGTAAATTTAGATTTTTTGCGACTTTCTTAAGGTTGGCATTACTGAGTTTCTAATTATTCATTTGAAAATAGTCACTTGAAGGTGCCAGGCACAACATCCCTGAGTTCAGGTTTCATTTCCTGCATTTTACATAAGAGAAAACTGGGAATTAGAGAGCTAAAACACCTTCTCAAAGTCACACAGATAAAAGCAATAGATGTCCACTAAAGCCTGTGATCTCAACCACTCCTGGTGCCTCACCATAAAATATTTTCTGTTGCCATTCCAACATCAAAAAGTGCACACATCCAAACAATTACCTTTTCAGAATCCACAAAGTGTGTAGCGATTCCTGATCTGTACACATCTCTTCCTTTTAGTCTGAATCCTGTTAATGCAAGGAAGTAACCAAGTTTTCCTTGAAGTCTTGGCAAGAAATAACCTCCACCCACATCAGGAAATAATCCTATAATTAAATATAACAAAAAGAAATGACACTGATTCAAATGAAAAAGACAAAGATAGCCTCTTTAGATCACCTTTCTCCGTGGAGCATGAATCTATACTACAAATATTATTGAACTAAGTATAATATAATATAATCAATAGCACAAGAGACTTGGTTTGTGCTGTATAAAAATTGTGCTAACTCAGATATTGTTCAAAATCTTCATGTCTCATTTCTATCAAATTCAGTGAAGTATGTGATGATACAATGTTCTGTATATTAAAAGTACTCAATAACATTACCTAAATTTTCTTGCCACTAATTTACTCTTTAAGAATCTCTGAAATAGGAAAAACTATTTTCTTTCCAAATGAAAAGCATAGGAAAAAATATACATACATAACCTATGAGCTAATATATTATGGAAAAATTCATTATTACCATTTAAATAATTTCCCTAACTTAATTACCAAATTTTTTCATTAATTTTTAATTAAAATTATAACTGTAAACATCTATGAGATACAATGTGATGATCTGATATACAACGTGGAATGCTTACGTCAAACTGATTAACATCACCATCACCTCACTTACTTATATTTTGGGAGGAGACATTTAAAATTTACTCTTATTTTGAAATATATCCTTGCATTGTGTACATTAGGTGAGATCCCACCAAATGCCCTCCCTCCTCCCACCAATCACCCTCCCCCCTTCCCGTCCCCTCTCCCTTCTCATCTTTCCCCCTTGCTAGACTATATTGGTGTTGTATCTTTTGTATGACTGTGTGTTTATATATTGGTTTCATAATAGTATTGAGTACATTGGATACTCTTTTCCATTCTTGAGATACTTTACTAAGAAGAATGTGTTCCAACTCCATCCAGGTAAACATAAAAGATATAAAGTCTCCATCTTTTTATGGCTGAATAGTATTCCATGGTATACATATGCCACAGCTTGTTAATCCATTCTGGGGTTGGTGGGTACTTGGGTTGCTTCCATAACTTGACAATTATGAATTGGGCTGCAAAAAACATTCTGGTGCAAATGTCTTTGTGGTAAAATAATTTCTGATCTTCTGGGTAGATCCCTAGTAACAGAATTGCAGGATCAAATGGAATGTCAACTTTCAGTTCTTTGAGGATTCTCCATACTTCTTTCCATAAAGGTTGTGTTAGTTTGCAATCCCATCAGCAGTTAGAATTGTTCCCTGTAGCAGCCCGTATAGCTTACGGCTAAGAGGAGTGAGAGTTATAGGAAATACCTGTAATGGAACACCTTGGTGAAAAGGGCACGGAGAGAGATTTGGTTCTAACAAGCATGAGTGAGCTCGTGAGATGACAGCATTGGTGAATTGGCAGTCTCTACACCTGTGGTGTTGAGAAGCACGAGCTCAGCCTTATATTAGGCTGGAGGAGAAGGCAGTCAGGAGGCATGTGCATTCTATCACAGACATGCTTACGCTGGCTCTGTCTCCTCTCCTGTCTGCAGAACGCCAGCACTGCGTCTCTCTGCTGAAGATTACCACGCTCTGCTAAAGACTAAGATCTATCCATGCTAAGAAGACTGCTTTACTCTCTCTAAGATTCTCTCTCTCTCTCCAGCTAAAGTAGATAGCCCTCAAGCACCTAAGAGAAACTGTTCTTGAGCAAGGTAGCAGTCCACGTCCAGAGCCTACCTAAGCTGGGCCTGAGACCTGGTCAATCCCAGGCCCTGACAAGTGGTGTCAGAAGCGAGATTGTGAACACCACTGACAAATGGTGCTGTGAGCAGGATGCAGTGAACATGGATCGAGGAGGAAATAAGCTTTAGCAAATAAGAGAAAGAGAAGAGAAATAGAAATATTTAGAGGGAGAAGAAATATCTAAGAAAGACAGCCAACAGCAGGCCTTTCTATTTGGTTTTTCCTCTTTCCTACTTTTCTCTTTCCAAATTCTAACTACTACTTCTGTGGGAAAAAAGCCAGTAAAATCCTTTAGCCTCTTCTGTGAAGCAGCTGGAGAAAAAGCAGAAAAAGCCTCTAAACAAGAGGGAAAGAGAAAGGCTGGACCTAGGAGATAAGAAACTTTAGTAAACAAGCCTTTAGCCTCAGAGGTGAGAAAAGCCTTCAGTAAAACAGCAAAGAGAAAAAGTTTGGGAATAGGTTGCAAGAGTTTAAGTTAGGGAAGAGAACTTCTAACTGCCTTCCCATATGTCTTTGCCCAATGCCAGCAGGAAGTAGCTTTTGAGAGACCGACGCCCCGATTCCCTTTTTGGCAGTTAAGAGTTCTGTTTAAAAAGAAAATAACTGAGGTAGATTGAGGCTGGTGAAGAAATAGTGGAAGTAAAGTTTTGTAAAACAACTAAGACTCCAGAGTAAGAAGAACTGTCTCTTTAAGGCAGCCAAAGGTACTAAGAATTGAAAAGGAAAGATGGTAAAAAGTAAAAGGCCGAAAGAAAAAAAGCCAGTAGAGAAAAATCATGGCAAATGAGATACAGCAGTTGAAATACAGTTGAGAGATCAGATGAATCTTATAGTAGAAGCAGGTAAATGCTATATTGACAACTCAAATTGGGCAGCTGGAAGATCAGAGGGTAAATCCACCAGTTAACATCAGGGGCCATAAATGTGGGAAGCCAGACCATAAGAGAAAAGTGTTTAAAAGGGAAAAGAACGTTGGATGCTAAAGAAAAGGAACAAAGAGCATGTAAACCTCCAGGTGTACGTCCCAAGAGTAAAAAAGGCTTCCATTGGGCCAAACGAATGCCGTTATCAATTTGATAGAAGATGGAACACCTTTATTGTAGGGAAATTATCAGTTGGGCTAGAATCAGGACCCACTGGTAAATGCAAGAAAAAACACTTTAATATTTTCATTTCAAACCATTCTCAGAAAAAGCAGTATAATTCAATTCTATGCCATGGGAGCACTCTGCCAGCTTGGTTAGACTTATGGTGCCTTAGTGTAAAACGGGAAATAAGCCAGACCAATGGATGATGGAGAATATTAGGTTATCCTGAGTGGTGAAGGGGTAACGGACCTCTCATCACCGTCTGTGCGCTATAACCGGGTCCAGCTAAGGAGACTGGACACGGCCCAAAGGGAAAGGAGAAAGAAAGTAAAGCCTCTGGGAGATTATGAAAGGTGAGAACAAAGAGAGGGAAAAGTAAGAGTTAAACCACCTTTGTGCTAGGAAACTCCATTTGGAAAAAAGTCTGGAATCAATTAGCAAAAATTTCGCTGGAAAAGCAGCTTGAAAGCAGGAAAAACTCCGCTATCAAGGAATTGTGAAGGATGGTACGTTTTGGACCACGAGTAACAGTTCCACGAGAGGAGCTGCCAAGTGTGGGACCATTAGTCCTAGAGTAACAGTCATTTGAGATCTGTGAAGGGTGGACTTAGGGACCTTGGAGTAGCAAAACCTTTGAAATATCGAGAGAAAAGTCCTTGCTTGCAAAGATTGCAAGGAAAGCGTTACTTCTTGTTCATCCGTTAAGTAAATATCAAAGGAAAGTTCCTATAGTTAAAGAAATGGTAAATTCTCTCAGGAAAGATTTCAGTTTTTCTCCGTTTAAAAAGACCTTTAAGGAAATGAACATCACAATCATCATTTTCCCCTAGCAGCGGCTAAAAGTTTACATCTGTATCAGGCTTCCTCATTTAAAGAGCCCATACCTAGAATTCTGAACTCTGATAATTACTATCTTTTGCCTAGAAAGAAAAGGGCTAGATAACAGTAAGAACTGCCCTTACCACGTTAAAAGTTATTTTTTGTATATTAAAAAGGGGGGAAATGTAGCAGCCCGTATAGCCTATGGCTGGGAGGAGAATTACAGGAAATACCTGTAATGGAACACCTTGGTGGAAAGGGCATGGAGAGAGATTTGGTTATAACTAGCATGAGAGAGCTTGCAAGATGAGAGCATTGGTGAATTGGCAGTCTCTACACCTGTAGTGTTGAGAAGCACGAGCTCAGCCTTATATTAGGCTGGAGGAGCAGGCAGTCAAAAAGCATGCGCATTCTATCACTGACACGCTTACTCTGACTCTGTCTCCTCTCCTGCCTGCAAAACGCCAGCACGGCGTGTCTCTGCTGAAGATTACCAAGCTCTGCTAAAGACTAACATCTATCCATGCTAAGAAGACTGCTTTACTCTAAGATTCTCTCTCTCCAGCTAAAGTAGATAGCCCTCAAGCACTTAAGAGAAACTGTTCCTGAGCAAGGTAGCTTAGCAGTCCGCGTCCAGAACCTACCTAAGCTGGGCCTGAGACCTGGCCAGTCCTGGGCCCTGACAAGTGGTGTCAGCAGCTCCTGACAGCTCCCTTCTCTCCACATCCACGCCAACATCTGGAGTTTTGGGACTTTGTGGTGTGGGCTAATCTTACTGGAGTTAGATGGTATCATAGAGTGGTCTTGATTTGCATTTCTCTGCTGACTAAAGATGATGAGCATTTAGTATTTCATGTTTGTTGGCTATTCATCTGTCATCTTCAGAGCAGTTTCTGTTCAAGTTGCTTGCCCACAAAGAAATGGGGTTGTTTGCTCTTTTCTTATTGATTAGTTTGTGTTCTCTGTAGATTCTAGTTATTAGACCTTTGTCAGAATCCTAACATGCAAAAATCTCCCATTCGGAAGGCTGGCTGTTTGCTTTGGTTGTAGTGCCCTTATCTGTGCAGATGCTTTTCAGCTTGATCAAATCCCAGTGATTTTTAGGTGTTGCTACAACTGCTAGGGGGTGGGGGGTCTTCTTCATAAAATATTTTCCCAGGCCAATATCTTCAAGCATTTTCCCTGTACTCTCTTCTAGTATTTTATAGTTTCATGTCTTAAATCTAAATCTTTTATTCAGTGAGAATCAATTTTTGTGAGTGGTGAGAAGTGTGGGTCCAGTTCCAGTCTTCCACATGTGGCTAACCAGTTCTCCCAGCACCATTTGTTAAATAGGAATTTTTCCCCCAGCGCATGTTTTTGTTAGGCTTATCAAATATATCTAAATACTGATGCAATAACCATTAGTTCTACTAAATGAA